TGTGTATAACCATGATCTAAGATCAATGGTTAAAAATGACTTTGAGCAAGTGAAGCCTGAGGATCTTAGTAAAGACAAGTCTTCTTTGAACACTGTGGAATCATGCTGCAGAATCACAAACAAAAAACTGTACCAAATAACAGAAACCACATCACTTGATGACTACCAACAGCAGCAACAACTAAAATAGATAGCACATGTCACTTGAATAGAATATAATGACATAATCAAGATGTTGACATTCTAGTCTACTTCAAATAAAAGGTTAGAAAGGAAACCCTCATCGATACTGGAAAGAGCAATCACAGTTAATGGACTTGAGAAATCAATCTTCCTGAAAAATTCTTTTAAGAGAAAGATTTTATAAATTTCAACTGAAAGCAGTACTGGCTGCTCAGTCAATGAATGCAAAATATTTCCTTGGAGGGAAACAGCTAATATTACCATTACTATTAGCAGTACTCAAACATATTTGTCAAGAAAAAATTTTTTTATGACTTTTCCTAGTCTGGGAATGAGTCACTGATACCCCAAACTGAGTGTTAGAATTCATATAAATGTATTAGCATAAAATTCTTTTACTCACAGCCCCCTTCACTTAAAGCTCCCCAACTTAAAACACACTGACAACAGGCCTGTATTTAATCTCTTGGAAAATTATATTGTTCTACTCTTGGTCTATAGGTCTCTAGGCACCAGTAAAAAAAAAAAATGGTACTGAAGATGTTAGGAAAGATGAATTAAGTTTTTAATAATTCTTGAACTATTTCATTATTTAATTCTTTGGAATCATTATGCCAGTCAAACACTGAAAAATATCTAATAAACAACTTCTGTCATGTAACTCAGAATATTCAGATTTTCTTTAGTAATTTATTTCTTTTTTTTTTCTATAAACTAATGTAACTACATTGATATTCTTATAATGAATATATGGTTGCAAGGAAAAAAACAAACAAGGATTAAGATTTCAACAATGTGTAATGGTCAAAATTCAGAATATATACATAGTTGTGTGAAAGGTGACAAAAATTATTCATATGTGGCTCCTTAGTTGCTGTTGGTAAGGAAAGCAATTAGGTGTAAGGGTGTTTTTGTTAGGGCCAGGAGTTGACTGATTTCTTGGGTTGGTTGGCAGAAGTTGATGTCAGGAGAGGCTTGGAGTGGATTAGTGAAGTGCTATTGGTGGGGTATGATGTATACCTTTCTTAAGGTTTGAAATTGACACTGGTGAGATGTTTGATGGGTTGGCAGTCGTGTGATGAGGCTAAAGGTTTGAGGTCAAATTGCCTATTGTCAATGAGGACTGACGTTATATCTTAGGTTTAACAGGTGCAGATACTTAGGCACATCTTTTTTTTGTGAGAATTTTTGTGATTGGCTATTGTATTTTAGGATTCTTGTGGGGATTTGTTTTGTGGTCCAGATCTGATGCATGGAGTCCCTGCACAAAAACTTTTTTATTTTGAAGTTTGCTTTCTTAGTTCTCACATTCAGCTGACATGTCTGGTGAAATATATTTGTGAATCAGAAAGAGATTTTGATTAAGTAGTATAACAATATTACATATAGGAGGATAGCTATGTCATGTCAGTGGCAATGAATGCTGGACAAATTGTTCAGAGGAAACTTGTGGGGTCACTCACATCATACCAGCAGAAATATTCTCATGTTCACAGGAATAAAAACATACATAGAAATAACACTAAAAGCATGTTAAATTGTAAATTAAAATCATACAATTTATTTACTTTTGTGTACTGTGTGTGGGTGTGTGTGTGTGTGTACTTTAGTTACAAGTTTTTCAAGGTTACATGTGATAAAAGGAAGAAGTCACTTCATATTATAATAAAGCAAGCAATATCCCGAGGGGAGGAAATGGACGTCTTGACTTTCCAATGATCAGTGAAGAGAGACTGAGTTCAGCCTCTTTTGACCCAAAGTACGTTTTCAGGCAGGAAATGTTTCTGCTGCATTCTGGGAGAACTTTTATTTTTCTTTTGGTTTTATTTATTTTAAACAAAGTTTAAATGTTATTTGTTTTATTTCATGATATTTATTATTATTATTGTATATTTTTATTTTATTTATTAATAACAATAATAATGTCCTGACAAATTTCAATTGACAGAGATGTGGTTCTACAGAAGGATGCAGAGAATAACATGGATTAAACCTGTAAGCAATGCTGAAGTTTTAAGGAAAATGGGAACAAAAAGTTCCCCAAAATCAGAAAGAGTTTAAATTTTTGGGATACATAAGGTAAAAAAAAAAGGCTTAGAGGATTTCAAACTCACTGGACATACAGGGGGACATAGATACAGTGCCACGAAAAGTTTACAACACATTACAAAAAATGTTTCTTTAGGTATTTCTAACACAGATTAATGAAACTTTTACTGCAAATAATACATATATTTAAACCTTTAGTCAATCAGATTAAAAAAATAATCAATAAAAATATCCCATGAAGAAAAACCAATATTTAATAACACAAATGTTTACAATACATTTAATAAACAATCTATTAATATTTCGTGGCGTAACCATTATTGCTAATTACAGCATGTAGGCATTCCCCTATGAATTTCTTGGATGTTTCTTGGTTAATATTTTTCCATTCTTCAAGACAAAATTTCTTTATTTCATGCAGGTTTTGTGGGTTCCTTCTTTGAATTCTCAGTTTCAGGTTTCTCCATAAATTTTCAATTGGATTGAGACCTGGAGGTTGACTTGGTAACTTTAGAATGTCTATTCTATTTGAACTTAACCATGCAAGCTTTGCAATATGTTTAGGATATTTGTTGAAAGACCCAACCTGGTTTCAAGCCCAATGAATGTGCACATTGATGTAAATTTCTCTCCAAAATATCCCTATAATATGTTCCATTCATCCTGCCTTCTATTATTTCAGTGTTCCCTATACCTTGGGCACTAAAGCAACCTCAGATCATGATTGATCTGTTTCCAAATTTTACTGTTGGGAAATTATTCTTTGTCGCATATTTTGTACCCTTTTTTTTGCAGACCTTTGCTATTGCATTTTTGCCAAAAAATACAATTTTCATTTTGTCTGGCCAAAGTACATTTAACCAAAATGCTGCAAGTTTGATACAATGCTCATTCGCAAAATCCATTCTAACAAGAACGTGTTTTTGCTTAAGAAGTGTTTTTTTTCCTTGGAATCCTCAAAAAGATGTCATATCGATGAAGTGAACAACTAATTGTATCCGTACTCACTTTTACTCCACTTACTTCTAGACCTCCCTGAAGGTCTTTAAGGATAATTTGGGGCTCATTGCCAACTTTTCTCACCAATAATCTCTCTGTACAGTCCATTACCTTTCTAGGACAACCAGAGCTTTTTTTGAGATGAATGACACATCTTCCAGTGACAAACTATCATACCAACTGAACTCAGTGGCACATTTAGCTGACGAGATATGAAGGTCAACAATATATTTACGGAGGTCTTGATCAATTATTTTGCTTTTCCCCATTTTGTCGATGTTTAAGGAATGGTTGACAAAAAAGGATGACGCAATACTTTTTTTTAACCATTCCTAAAAATAATCATAAAATTAAACTGGAACATTCTAAAAATTAACCCAACCCCATTGTGCAGATCTATTGCGCACGAACATACATGCATACATACAAAAATACAAATCACATACAATGCCAAACATTCATTAGTTAACTAATCACCACTACGTTATAGACAATTTACAAATCGCAGCAATGTGACAATTTTGTAATCACTCTATTTTTATGTAGTCAGTTTTGTGCACTTTTAGGAGAAACGGATCACAGATGCTTTCTTAAGTTTCCCCAAAGCTTGTTTGCTGATTGGTCTATGCCAACCACTCAGATCGACTGCATGTGAAGAATAATTCTTCCCACACAGTGATCTGGAGCCTATAGTCACTTATTTAAGCAAGAATTTTTATTAGCTAATTAGTGAGAATTCAGCTGCCAAATGAATCCATGACAGTTGAAACCATGTGCCAACCTTCTCACTCACACACCACTCACATGCTGAACATACCTTGTATATACTCACATAATCTTTTCTTACACCACAAATCTTTCAAGAGCTATTATTAGAAGAAACTCTCATGAACATTGTCCAGTGAACTTTGGAATACTAAAATAAGTTAAAGAGAGACAACTCTTGTTTATTTCAACCGTTTCTTAAATGCATGCTTTCTTTCACATCGTTGTTTGATATTGTACATCTTGTTAAATAGAAATTTTATGTGTAACAATGTCTTTTGCTTATCCTTTTCTGCGTCAGTCCTGTTTCCTAATCTAAAGTCAAATTAATATGTTGAAGTCCGCCACACCATCCTTTTGAGTTACTAAATATTGGTTTTTCTTCGTGGGATGCTTTTTTTTAAGTTTTTTTTTTTTTTTTAAATCTGATTGCTTGACTGAATGAATACCTATGTTCTATGAGCACTAAAAATTTAATTAATGTAACTGTATTAGAAATATCTAAAAAAACACTTTTTGTAAAGTGTAAACTTTTGCGTGGTATTAAATATCAAGCACTCTGCCCAATAACCTAGTGCAAATAGATGGCAGAACAAACATTGGGAGGGGTAGTAAGAGGACGAATATTAAAATAGAGCTTAAAAAGAAGGAAAGAAAGTTGTGGAGAGATATACGTCCTGAAGGGACACGGCACATAAAATAAGAATCTGTGAGCTGATAAATTAATCCGTGAATTGTTTCTAATTATATACGCAATTCGTCTATGTCAGTCGGAAGCTCAAAGTAAGAAGAAAAAAAAATATGTTTTTTAAATTGAGCCTAAAACTAAGACAACGATTCTAACTTGGAAATCAGGGTCAAATCTTTTTAGAGGTCTACGGTTTTAGCACCGTTTGTGTTGTCTCCCTTTTATTCTCGTTAAGTTTTAACTTCCGGTTTCGTGTAAATTATTTTTATATTGGCTGTGCTGTATTTTAATTGAACTTTTCTTTATCTAAACAGTTATGTTTTTGAATACGTTAAAGCAACAGCAGAGAGATTCTAATAACTCTCTGCTTGAAAAGAAGCCAAACAGTAAAGAAAAGCCTCTATCGATTCAACAGAAGAAGAGAAAATTTAAAAGTGGACACTTGCATCGACTTGAACACGTGGTCCTCGGCAATGAGGACTTTGTAATCGAAAGTCTCAAGCATAAAGAATTGGACAATAAAGAAGATAAAAAAGTTGAAGATTCATCGGCAAAATCCGTGGAAAGTGACGAGGAGGAATCAGATGATGAAGAACCAGAGAGAAAAAAGCCTGTTTGGAATGACGACGATGATGATGGTGAATATGACAACAAAATATATGCAGTTCGACAAACCTCTCAGTTCGCTTCCGAAACACCGAAATGGGCCCAGCTTAACTGTGGGAAAAATATTAAAAAAAGAAATCGAAAGAAACCACGTTTCTTAGATGATGATGATGATGATGACGACGACGAAGACGAAATAGGATTGTCTCACTCCACGGGGAACTACCTGACCTCTTCATCTACATTGACTAGCATCAATCTTCAAATTAAGAAGTGCTCGGACCTAAACAAAGAATATGCAAGTAATGATCTGAGCGCTTTGGAATTTCACAGAAAATCCACCGTTGCTTTGACAGCCGGTAGCGACTTTCGTTTTCATTTATTTCAAATTGACGGTGAACATAACAGAAAAATTCACTCAGTTGTTTTGGAAAGGTTTGCTGTTCAATGCGGTCACTTTTCCACGGAAGGTAATGAGATCATCTTCGGTTCTGGACACAGGTATTTTTGCTATTTCAATCTCGAGTCTGCTCAACTTATCAAAGTGCCTGTAATTAAAAACCTCGAAGAAAACAAGATGTCTCAGTTTGTTATGTCCCCAGATGGACGATTTATTGTTTTTCTTGGATCAAATGGCTACTTACATTTATTATCAGCCCGTTCTAAAGAACATTTGACAAGTTTTAAAATGAATGGTACTGTCAGCTCTGTTGCTTTTTCCCCAGATGGAAACCGGATGTATTCGTTTGGTTCAGATAGTCAGGTTTACGTTTGGGACATGGACAGTCGTCGCTGTATCCATAAGTTCTACGATGATGGCTGTATCAATGGTACTTCACTTGCTGTGTCCCCCAACCACAAGTATTTAGCTTGTGGTTCTGATAGCGGAGTTGTAAACGTCTACAACGTAGATACCTGCATGGACACTCGTACACCTCAGCCACACAAAGCTTTAATGAAACTAACTACGGCTTGTACATCGTTACGATTTAATCATACGAGCGAATTGCTGGTTACAGCATCAAACAATTCAGAAAAGGGTATAAAATTAGTACATTTACCATCATTTACAGTATTCAGAAACTTTCCTGATCGTATGGATAAAGGTATACGTTTTCCCATTGCTATAGACATTTCTCCAAACAGTGGCTATTTAACTGTTGGTACTAATAACGGCCGAGCTCTATTGTACAGACTAAAACATTATAGTAGTTACTAAAAAAGCACGAAAAACAACCAATTGGATAGAAAATTATGGTCAACCATCATAAATCGAATTCGGTATTTTTTACAACATCCACATTTTCAATACAAACTTCATTTTGTATATTTTTGTTTGAATAATTTTATTACTGAACTGAATTCCGAGCAAAGATTTTTCTGTGGGAGTATATTCAATTGTCTATTTCAACGTTTCAATCAAATTCTACATGCCAAATACTGAATTACCTCCCTTATATCGCACATATTTTTTATTGCTTCATATTCTAAGCTCTCTTAAAAAAAAAAAAAAAAAAAGAAAGAAGCCAAATGCAATATAATAATAAAAAATATTTCAACTACTTTTTCCGTAAGTAAAAACGATCATTTATTTTGACTATCATCAATAAAGTCCCTTTTTTTTTCGTATTCGTGGCTTCTTGAAGATTTAGCAAAAAGTTTTTTGTTTGTTCTTTTTTTAACGAGGTTTTAAAACCCCAAATTAAGATCTGATGCAAGACTGCAAACGACTTCCTTATTTTTGTTTTTCAAATTCTGAGACTTGAATATTTTAGCCACAAATATTGAATTATTTAATTAATTTTTTTAAAACTTACAGAAAAATTGCATTTCGAATGCATGACATTTTTTTTGTTAGAATATGAGGCAAATTAAAACAAAAGTGCTATATGAGATATAAATGATAAATCAGTGTTTGATATGTATGAAACGCTGAACTAAACAATTAATTATTACATGCTGATGTTCTTACTGACACCATTTTTTTTTTTATGAGAACAAAAAAAAAATCAGTCTTTGGAACTTCTTGCCTCTCTTGCTTGATGCATTTTGGGATTTATCGTCTTTCAATTTCTTTTCTCGTGAAATTATTTCATATGGAACCAGGAACTGTAATTCTCTTTGATTTTTCAGAGAAGCATTCTTCATACAGTCAGATACCAAAGTGGCATTTACTTACTGTGGATACAAAAAAAAAACACATCAACAAAACAATTTTTGACAGTAGGTCTCTAACTGAAGAAAAATCTGATTATTTGATGATGAACATTTGTTTAATTCTACTAAAAAACAGAAATCAATTTGTTGCGAAATAATTATATATTTTTTTTCAAATACAAACTCCTAAAGTTTGCCTATGAAAGTCTTCTTGTATATTCTCATTGAAAACTAGAAGTAAATAAATACTATATACCGGAAGTGAAAATGCTCTCTATTGATGGTTTTTTTTTTCCAAATCATTGTCGTATTTTTTGGTTTTAAAAATTCTTTGTTTGTTTTTGTTTTGTCGTTTGTTTTGTTTTTTTTACATATTTTCTGCTATACTTTAAAATTCCAAAATATTTTTAGGATTGTAGGAAAACTTTATTAACATTAATTCTTAAATCACTGATGACAAAAACCTCACACTATTTCTCTTTTTACTTGCATTACATTATTCGGACTGCTATCCTAATCTTCATTACCATTAACAACGTTTCGGCCGTTGTACGTTCCGACCTTCTTCAGGTGATTGGAATTTCGAACCGAACCCTTTATTTCATCCACCGGGGTAGATTGTTCTAGTTCCACGTGCCATGCCTCTTGCGGATGTCTCAGTGATTTCCCTGAAGATTAGGATAACAGTCCGAATAATGATGTAAATAATGCAAGTAATCATAGTACCTCATCTCAGAGATATAGACAGTTTTCTCTTTTTTAGTGTATTTATTTACTTATTATCATCATTATTACTTAGAATAAGTTTTTGTATGTACATGTCTTATTAAACAGACAAGTTTTGTCTAATTTTAAAGGATCCTCTAATAATTACGGACATGTTTCTTAGTATCCTTATTAAAGGGGAAAAAGAAAATTACCATGTTGATGCATATTCATTTTATTTTTATTCTGAGTACTTTTGACATTAGTAAAATGTCATCATAAAAACAAGACCCTGATGATGACATTGTGCTAATGTTGAAAGTACTCGGACCGAATATGCATCAACATGGTAATTTTCTTTCTTTCTTTAAGGATACTAAGAAACTTAATTACAAAAGGATCCTATTAAAAATAAGTAGACAAAACTTGTCTCTAAATTATTTAATGAGACATGTTTTAAGGAAAATATATGCAATACCTTTCATTTATTAATCTGATATATTTTTATTTTATAGTTTAAATAAACTAAACACTATTTTTAGTGAATACTCATATTTGATTAGATGCTCTGTTTAATAAATAAACAAAATACGAGTATCTACTACAAATAGCATTTCTTTAAACAATAAAAATATAAAGGTTGGGTCATAAATAATTTCTGGTTTATCAACTTTATTCGTCAAAAAGTAAGATACAATTAAATTTTATTCAAATATCCATTCACCATTATTTGCAGTGACTTCGCAAGTTCCTTGATACACTTTGTTCAAAATTATTAATGTAAAAATGTTTTCAAACTCTTTAATCAGTCAGTACAAAGTCAGGTGAATATGGTATGTAAAACAGATCAATCTAGTTCCAATATTTTTCCTGTGTTATTTTTGCTGTATACAGCCTTATCATGTGATTGAGAACGTTTTTCCTGATGATTAATGCAGGGCAATTTTCAACCAAACACATTGAGGGACACATTGCAGCTGCTGGACATATAAATGTGCATTTAGTAGTGTTTCATTACATTTTAAGAACTCTAAGAATAAATAATTTTATATTTAGTACAAAAAAAGACTAATGCAATGTTTATCATTTACCAATTTATAAAGAAATAAATATGTAAACATTTTTTATTCATAATGAACATATGTGAACGAACAATAAGGAAATCATTATTTTATTTACCAGTTTTTTTTATAAAATTCGAATCAAATTGCGATTTAGCCGATGTTTTGCCAACCATTTTCATAAACAATATAATAAATATAGTGTTCCTAATATTTTTGTCAATTTTCATTTTTCAAGAACAAAGAAAATGTATAAATTCACTTTCGTGTTTGAGTTTTATTACAATTCTAATCATCGCTTTTTTTTTTTTTTTTTTAAGAATAGACATTGCCGACGAGTAATAGTTAAAATAAAAGCGGTGTCATGGCAAAAACCGTCCCTTTGACACTCCGTTTTTTTTTGTTTTTTGTTTTTTGCTGGTTCGCTGAAATTTCTTATTTTAATATATAAAGTTTAAAATTTTTGTAAAGATGTTAAACGTGTTTTAGTTCTTGGGAAGTTCTAAGGGAGATTACTCTGGTTTTTATTAATAGTATTGCGTTTCTTTTTAAATGTTGATTATCCAGCAATTCAATTCAGAAAATGTCAAATTTTGATTTTTAAAAAATTTTTTTTTTGCAATTGGTGTCATATATATATATATATATAAGTGAATATAATGAACCCAACTGGAATTTAAACTCAGCTGAGCTGTTATCCATTATACTACACATGTATCCAAGCTTACAGCATCTGGTATTCTCAAGTGGTCACTCATCTAGGTACTGAACAGGCTCAACTTCCATGATTAGACAAGAACCAGTGTTTCAATTATGATATGACCGTAAGCCAATAATCATAAAGAGTGGATTAAAATGTCATTGGTGAAAAATCCATCAAAGATGACTTTTGGAAATATATTCCTTGACTCCAAGTTCAAACAGAGTGTTTGGAAAGAACATTATGACTGGTTATTGAATGTAGACTCAAACAATATAACCTCTTACTACATTTCTTATGAAATGCTGTTTGAAAAATGAAATGTGGAAAAGCTACTGAACCTTCTGACATTGTTTCTGAGATGTTATTTGCCAGTAGGAATGAGTGTATAGAATTTGTTGTTATTCTCACTAACTTCATCATTTGTAGTGGTAAAAATGCCAGCTGATTGGGAGGAAAGCTCCATCATTAATTTGTAGAAAGCAAAAGTTCTATTTTTGAAAAAAGACTGAACCAGTGGATATTGTTTCACTACTTGAAACGTGTCTATAAAAACAGCTATAATAATCAAGATGAAAGCAATAGTTCAAACAAAGTAATTTATGTCTGAATTTCTGGGATGAGGAGTTATTGTTATTTGCATTTGGACTAATGTCCTCATCTTTATCGGCATTATCACAATGTTTTGGATATTGTGCACACAGCCTTTTTCAGATTTCTGTTGATCCAGGTGACCTTCAGAAAATTTTGAATTGAACTCTTTATTTAATCTGTGGTTGCAAATTGTTTTCCTTCTACTATTCATGTCTAGGGATATTT